GAAGGGCGAGCAGCTTTCCCCCTTTTTTCTTTGGTAATGGCATGACCCAGAAGTTGCACCCATCATTGCTCATGTCCCATTAACCAGAGCCTAGGTATGTAGACTCTGGGGGTTTCTAAAAGGAAGAAGGAGACTGAGTACTGAGGGACAAGTAGCAGTCTCTACTGTAATCTGTAAACACTGAAAACTTTATAACTTCCCTCCCTTATCTGACTTCAATTACCTTTCCCATTTTAGTTTAACTTGATTTCTAATATGGTATGGGATGGAAATGGCTAAGTATGCATGGGTTTTTAATCTATAACTTCTTTGAACTCTGTTAGAGCTCTTCCTTTTTATAGTTTTATATCTGTTTAGCTGAAACCACTACAGCAAATAATTTTTCTACCTTTTTAAATGTGAGAGTCAAAACTGTAATTTCATATTATTCTCTAACATATTATTCTGTAACATATTAACAAACTGTGGCTCACCGGCCAAATCTGGCTTGCTGCCTATTTTTGTAAATAAAGTTTGACTGGAACATAGCCATACTCATTAATTTATGTGTAGCCTATGGCTGCTTCTGCGCTGCAACAGCAGAGTTGAATAATTCCAACGGAGACTGTCGGGCTTGCAAATTCTGAAATATTACTATCTGGCCCATTAAAAAAAAATTGCCAACTCCAATCTGAAACACTATCATAAAGTACAATGGACACAAACCCTTTGTGGCTCATGGGCATCCCTTCTAGAAATGCATAGGAAAAACCCACCCAAGTCATCCTGCGGTAGTGGTAGATGTATACTTAACAATATCACAACTAAACTGAGCTGCTTCTGTAGTGCTCACTGTTTATTACCAGTTTTCAGATTAAAAGTGGACAAGACGAATTTGTAGAATTTATGAAGAAAGAATTACTTTAAAGTTGTAGTCTTAAAAAATTCCTTCAAGAGCATTAACAGTACAAGTCTATCTAATATTGTTTTGCTAGGCTGAAAAATAACCCCCTAGAAGATATCCATGTCCTACTCCCTGGAACCTATGAATGTCACTTTATGTAGCAAAAAAGGACTTTGCAGATATAATTAAGTTAAGGATCTTGAGATGGGGAGATTATCTTGGATTATCCGGGTGGAGCTTTGAATGCAATCACAATTATCCTTATAACAGAGGCAGAGGGAGATTTGACACAGACAGAAGAGGAGAAAGCACTTTGACCATGGCAGCAAAGATTCCTCGGCCACAAGCCAAGGAATGCTGGCAGCCACCGGAAGCTGGAAGAGGCAAGAAATGGATTCTACCCTAGAACCTCCAGAGGGAGCATGGCCTTTTTAACACCTCTTTTTGGCTCAGTGAAACTGATAGAACTGTGAGAGAAATTTTTGTTGTTCTGAGCCACCAAGTTTGTGGTAATTTGTTAAAGCAGCCATAGGAAACAAATACGGACTTTGAGACCATGAAGATGGGCGCCACTGTAACGAACACCTAAAAATGTGGAAGTGGCTTTAAAATTGGTTAGTGAACAGAGGCTGGGAAAATTTGGAGGCAAGTAAGAGAAAAACACTAGACTTCTGTAAACAGATTGTGGGTAGAAATAAGGACATTAAAGTTCCTGCTGGTGAAGATTCAGAAGAAAGTGAGAAGCATGGGTAGAGAAAGCCATATCATCTTAGAAAATATATATGTCGTCATAAACAGGATGTTGCTAGGAACATGAACATTAAAGGCATTGCTGGTGAGGACTCAGAAGGAAATGAGGAACATGTTATTGGAAATTTGAGGAAAGGCGATCTTTGCAATATAGGGGCAGAAAACTAGCTGAATTATGTTCTACTCTTAGGTGGAAAGCAGAATTTGTAAAGATGAACCTGGATATTTAGCTGAGATTTCTAAGCAAAGTGTTGAAGATTTGGCCTGGTTTCCTCTTGCTGCTTGTAATAAAATGTGAGAGAAAAAGAACCAAAAGAACTATTAAGCCCAAAGGAACTAGATTTTGGAAGTTTTCAGCCTATCTAGATTTCAAAAGTTGCTAAAATTAGGAGATCGACTGTTGGGTGTATGCTCTAGAGAGAAGGCCAAGAGTGAGAATGGAAAACATTTTGCTAGTGTTGCAGGGATTGGATGTGTGACCCATGGACCCCTCAACCACCTCAGCAGCTACCAGGAAAGGACACAGGATTGTACAGGAAAAATCTGTGGACGACCCTCTTATCTAATGGCATAAATCCTCATGACATACATTGGAGACCCACAAGGTTTTTGAAAATGCTATAGCAGCATAAACACTACCAGCTTGGACTGAAAGGGGCACATTTGTGACAATTTGTCACAGTAGCCATAGGAAACTAATAGCTAGCATTTTTTGAACACTAACTGTGTGCCGACACTCTACCTGCTTTGTGTGTATTATCTCATTTAACCCTGCATTAAGCCTATGATGTAGCACTATTGGTATCTCTACTTTTACAGATTTTATTTATTTTTTTATTTATTTAACAAGCATTTACAGGGCACTCACTGTTTTCTAAGTGCTTTACAGCAATTTAATTAATATTGTTATCTTCATCTTATAGTTCATTATTCTCTCCCTTTACCTCAAGGAGGCAAATGGCCACCAGACTCTTTTCCTTTTCCTAATTGGTGAGTATTGTTTGTATCCCATGATGCATTTGAAGTGAATGTAATTCTGTGGTGCTTTTTGTAACCTAGGTTTATATACCGAGTTCTTCAGGGATCCTTGTTTCCGTCTCCAATTTTGAGGGCTAAGCACTTGGACAGGCTGACTCCAGAGGAGAGGACTGAGGCTCTCAAGAAATGGAGAGGGGCTGGAAAGATTGGTCAAGTGACATCTAAGTATGGCAACCACTCAGCTACCAAGTCAGAGAGAAGACCCACGCCTGGCTCTTCTGCTGTCTTTGCAATGATGTCACCAACTTCTTGTGCCGTTGAGCAAGAAAACTTATCTGTACATGAAACTGCTTTAGACTCAGACTACTCTGAAATGAAGGCCTCAGAGATAGCTGGACCCATAAAGGATTAAAAAAGCAGGCTATCTTCCTTAGAGTTGCAAGTATTTCTTCAAGTTTGGAAGAGGGACTTTGGAGAGGCACCTCTACCAAGCAAGAATGACTTGGATTTTTCCTTAAGGGACATTTGGACATTTTACTGGGTTTGGAAAAATTGATGTGACGACCTTTATTGTATGTTTGTAGATACATTTGTGAACGAGGACAGAGTTTGACCTGGACAGAGTTTAGGGAAGTAAAATATTTAATTCAGAGCCAAATGCTTTTATGAAACTTTTTGGATTTTGTAAAAGCATTTTAATTATCTTAGAAATATAAACATTTTCAAGGGGATTCGTTTGAGATGTATTTATTTTACTGAGAGATCTCAAATTCTGTGCAAAATGCTTTCAATGAGCAGACTTCAATCTGAATTTTTTTTAACTAAGAAAAAAAAGTAGTTTTTAGATTGATTAGTTAGAACTCAGGAGAATTCCACATGAAAAGATGTTATAAATGGTTAATATCCAGAGAAAAAATTCCCAAGAGCCTTTTAAAGAACAGTGTACCTAAAATAGGGTGATAATTGTATTATTTAAAAGATAGTGATTATTAATAGCTTTTTATTTCCTGTGGGAAGATGCTTTTGGTCTTCTGTCTGAAGATGTTAGGCACACCTCTCTGCTCATTTCAGTGTTCTCAGGTGGAGGCTTCGTTGAGAAGGGGCAGGAGGAAGCCAGGGTTCTATAGGAACATGTTCCTCTCTCAGCTTCTACTCAAAAGAAGACTTTTTATGAGGTCTGCCTCTGTGCAGATGTTGTCAATTGGGAAACAGAGGCCATAGATAAGGCAGACAGAATCAGCTGAGCCTATAGCCCATTTGGCAATTTCCTATATTCTAAAACTGACAATACAAAATGAGACAATCAATTTCAAAACAATCTTCAAGAGACCCTCTAAGGGTTCATAGTCTTTACAATACTCTGTAACTTTTCTGGAGTTGTAACCTCTAAAACTGAGCTATTATAAATTGAGAATAATACAGGTGATTATCAGGAGGATTCCATGAGGCTCTTAGAAAAATTTGTTTTTTAGTATGTTTTAGGACAGAAATGTCTATAGCAAGTTAACTGCTGTTGCAAATCATGTATGCTGGCTTTAGTTGGAACAAAGAAACTGCTTTATACCAAATAAGGAAGTAAGGCCAGGTGTTATTCTAAGATCATGTATTCTTGTTGAGTTCTTTTAAAAGTCTATATTTATTCATCTGAAAATTGTCACCCACCAATCACCCAGAATTGCCTTCACGAAATCTCCATGCTAGTGTTCCACGTCTATATCAAGATCTTCTTAAGGACTATTAAACTGTTATTCTCAGGGCTGAATCTTCTACCTGCTACCTACTGTCCTGGTCTGCCATTATTTTGTAGCCTTGTGATATTATTGCAAATAGTTTTTTATATAGATTGATTTCTAGAACTTTCAAAATACCACATGGCTAATGGAGGTTGCTTTCTACTTTCTTATGATTTTTTTTAAATAAATTGTTTAATAAATAACATGTACAAAAAATCGCCATCACTCCTGTAGATACTCACCGAATCCAACAGTAATTAGTACCAGAACTTAGAAGGAAAATCCCAAAGCACACTTTTTACCAGAATATTGTTTTGGCCTTTTCTTATATAGAAAAATCAGTGATGGCCTATCATCTGTTATCCTCATAGCAGCTGACATTCATTCCCTGAGAGCATCATCTTCTGATAAACAAAAATTTAGAGATATATTCATTTGTAAATAAAGGATTAGAATCTAAGGATAAAAAGAATAAGCCAAAATGACCAAGAAAAATGATTAACCTCCAAAATGTGAAGTATCTGTACATATGAGGAGAGCAAAGTCTTGATGGTTCATAATATGAGTCCACAATCTCTTATCCACAATTCCAAAATCACAAGAGCTCTGAAACTGAAAATACCATCGTAAATTAGGCACAAATTCAATGTCCTAAATAGATGTAAGGCTCTTTATTTATTTAGTGTAACTATGCATATATTTTGCTACAAAAATATTAATTTGTTTTATTACTGGTTGGTAGACTCTACTTTGTCTTTAAAATTTTGAAAAATTTTGGATTCTGAGACAGATCTAGCCCTCAGGCAGAAGAGATTTGGAATCTGTATTAAGCCTTTAAAGGGTCTCATTTATAAGAATAACTCTTTTGCACAAAGTCACCCAAGCTCACGTGATCTATTGCATTTTGATACTCAATGTATTTCACTGAATTTGGGGGGACCAAGGATGATATCATTGCTTCTAGTAGCCAAGAAAAAATAATTAATTATGACTAATACATTTTGGGATATAATTTTACCCCAAAAGATTTAGAAAAGAATTGGATCAGGTTCCCAAAATGTATTCTAGACATTAAAGATCCATGCATTCTTACCAAAGCCGAAGTTTCCTTGGACACTCAGTAGGTGATTTGAGATTATTAGCAACCTCTCATTTCAGACTACTCCAAGAGCCATCTGTCATCTAAAATAGAAGAACCTGTTCCTGAGAGATATAAGACAGGTAAATTTTGATTGGTGGGAAGCTCGGTGCCAACTATTATGGTGGGAGACACAATCTTCTGGGACTTGATATCCATGTTCCATATCCAAAAAAAAAAAGTTTATACCATTTTATTTAGATTGAGGGTTATTTAAAATAAGTACAATATGTACATTTCACTGAACATAAATTGAGCAAGGCTAAAAGTTGTTACAGTAAGTATGTACCTACAGCTATGACAAAACTGACATATGTTCTTAACCATTCATACAACTGTGACCACAATTCACTTGCTGGATTTCACATTCTCAGTAGGTTTATGCAAACTACAGAACAGGAGATGAATAACATGGAAAGTGTCAAGACAACATTTTGGATTTCAAATACGTGTACACATAGAAAAGAGTGCAAAAATACATGTATAAAATTGCAGGTAGTCTCTCTGTGGAATGCTGAGGCAGTCCAGGTTGCTGGTGGAGGTTAGCAGAGAATCCTACTGTTTTTTAAACATTTTAGGCATTTGGATGTTGCAGAATGGATGCCTGACTAAGGTACATGTGAAGATTTGTGTTTTGAAGCTTTTTAGTGGGGAAACATACTTTAACCACTAATTACTTCAGAAATTGATAAGTGTAAAATCACTAGCACTGGGCCTAGTGCTTAAAAGCATCTTTAAATTTTTGTTTTGATTATCAATAAGAAGAAATGGCAACACCAGATGTTAAATATCTTTCACAGAAAATTACAAAGTGTTTTACTCCATGCAAAGTTTTGCTGTGCTTTGAGATACATTTCTGTGACATTATTGGGATGGACGAACACATGAAAACTGGAATATCGAATTGGGAATCAGGTGCAATTTAATTTTCTTTTTAAGAAATTGCATCTCTCCAGTCTAAAGTAAGTTCTCCTTTAGCAAAGTTTAATCTCAACTTCATTGTCACATAGGCAGAACAAAATATTTCCCTATTTGTTGAAATCTCAGTCAACTGATAGACACTTAAGAAACCCCAGCTACAGGGAAGGGTCTATAGAGATTTTTCTATAAAATGACAACCTTGATTTAAATTCAGAATGGGCAGTCCTATAATGTCAAGTGCTAACGTTGATGTCTGAAGAGCTTTGTGTTCAATATGTCTTGCTATTTCAGCCACCAAAATGGATGCTACTTGTCTTTTACCTCTGACTGTCTTTCATAAGTTCTCAGAATTATGCAAACTTTAGAAGAGTCCTAGTAAATAATTTAAGCATGTAAATTATCTTGGCCTTTAATAAATCAAAAGCAAGTCTCCAATGTTGATACTGAAATTTGCCACTATGCTATTGGGCTTGAGAAACAAAAGCTGGCGAAGATTAGTCAGCCTGGATCTCAATGTCCTTCTTGTGATTGGATAAAGAGAATTTTCTATAACCTGTTACCCTAGCACCTGCATTATTCTAACTCTCTCCAGAGTCAATAATTTCTTGCTACAGTCGAGGTTAGGCCTGGCAAAAGAACAAAATCTGCTTTGCTCTGTTTCCAGACTTTCATTGAATTTGAAATAAGAGAAAAATACAGTTGAAAAAGAAAGCTGAATAAAATTAGACCAAAACAAACATGAAAATTTGCAGTGCACTGTTGGGCACCTCAGTCCATGAAAAGTGCTGCTGTACAGCTCTCTGCAGGAGCTCTCCACGGTCAGAAGGCATTTTCTTTGAGTTGCTGGCAAAAGTCTCCAATGATCTTTGGAATTAGTTTAGGAGAAAAGTGTGGATGTATACTTGTCTTTCAATCCATTCGACGAAATATGAGACATTGCTATAAACTCCAGGCCCCAGGACTTTGGAAAAGCAGACGGAACCCCATGAAGTTAAACCAAATAATGTCCACTCTCCTCCAGGCCGCTCACAAACAAGAGGCCCACCGCTGTCACCCTGTAATGAATAATAGTGGACGTTAGTCGCTGGCATTTCAGAGTCCTAATGTCCATGTTATCCTGAGGGCGCAATAAAGCTACAACCCAGCTTAACCAATTTCTCGAAAAATTTCAACAAAGCTTTCATTGTCCACCTGTGGCAGGAGCATGCTGCCCACTATATAAATGGAACTTTCAAATGAACATTTTAAATTCTGATGTTTAAAAGGATAGAAGTGGCTTAGGAAAGAATTATAGTCTTCCCATCAAATCAGAAGACATTTCCAGGCATTCCCTGCACTTATCAAAATATGTCATGAACATTTTTTTAAAAACTTTAGCGTTATCAGAACTATTTCTCTTATAACTAATCTCATTCTTTAACTTTGATGCATTTTATGAATGCAGAAAGTACCCAAAATGGAACATTCAAAGATTTTTTTTCCCCACAAAACAGTACGAGAAAAGTATTCTAAAATAACTCTTTACTTTCAAGCTTCTTGCTATGTGGATGATGCTTTGAGTAAAACACTCAGGGGCCACTTACTGCGTTTCTTAATAATTCTTAGGACTTTTTTCATTTAGTATATTTGAATGGAAAATACCACATGAGAATTATTTACAGTGAGGTATTTCATTTATTTATACCCTGTATTTTATTTCATATACATAGAGATTTTCATTCTTGATATTTAAGTTTAGGTGTTGCAGCTGAGTTTTATTCAGTGCTTTCACCCACATAGAGTAAGACGCCATGGCTTTATACACATTAATATTTGCTATCTCTGAAAAGAGCAGAGTAGGTTAGAGAGGTGTATTCTGCATTGCCTCAAAAGAGAGAGATTGATACCCTAGAGAATAAGGAAGTAAGTATGTGAACTCATGGTGGAAATTTACAAATACTCCTTGCCCTGCAGGAATTTCAAACCTGGAAGTACGTGGTCTTCCCACTTGAAAATGTTGGAGAATAACAGTAACCATGTTTATTGATGCTCTTCCAAACACTTTCCCTGTATTAGCTCATGTAAGTCTCGTGAAATCCCTACAAATTGATAATTTTTTTTCCTTTTTTTCCCCAAAGCCCCCCGGTACATAGTTGTGTATTTTTAGTTGTGGGTCCTTCTAGTTGTGGCATGTGGGATGCCTCCTCAGCATGGCCTGATGAGCAATGCCATGCCCGCGCCCAGGATCCGAACCGGCGAAACCCTGGGCCACCGAAGCGGAGCGCGTGAACTTAACCACTCGGCCATGGGGCCGGCCCCCATAAGTTGATAATATTTTATTATTACTATTATTATATCCATTTGGGAGACAATGAAACTGAATCACAGGTTTATGACTTGTTCCTTGGCAGAGCTAGAATTTAAACCCAAGCAGCCTGGCACCACAGCTCCACCTCTATAATCACTCGGCTATTTTGCTTCTTGGAAATGTGAGTGAATACTATTGCTATTAAAGCAAAATTGAATTTTTGATTGTGCTGTATGCTTTTGTGGAAGTGGTGATCTTTACATTCATAACTTACCAATGCTGTAAGTCTAAATAAGAAGCCTAGACCTTGCAAGGGGCAAAATGAATTGTTCTGCCTGAAAGCCTAGTTGAATTGTTTCCATCAAAATTGACTGAGAACATTTTCATTAGACATATTCCACAAAATTTTTTTCATCTCCTCTTACATAGAAGAAAGACTAAGATGCTGAGTTGTTTAAGTTGAACTATTTATTATGCCAGGGAGTGATTAAAACGAGACATTTTATAGGTCGGCTCTACACTTCCAGATCAGAAATTTAGCCAAATAATTACTTCTCATGTACTTTTTGCAAGATTCTGTGCTAGCATCTCCACAGGTGAAGAAAGCACTGTTTTCATCCCTGAGGGGCCAAAAGTCTGCTTGAGTAACATTAACACCTTTACGTGAAAGCAAAATCTAAGGCCTATAAATAAAGGAGTCTTCAAAGGAATGAGCAATTACTTCCAGCTGGAGAAGAACAAAAACTGCCTTCCGGAGACATGTCTTTGAGCTTGTCGTAGTGAGGCAGGTAGACCTTTGGTAGGTAGAAAACAAGAGTTGAAGAGGAAACAATTCAAAACAAAAGGGAGAATCCAGCTAAAGGCACAATGTGCTGGTCTTTTTGGTCCTCTTTTCCTCTGTGTAATATTGGGCTTTAGGCTGAAGTTTATGATTGCCCTCAGTATTGATCCCCATGATTTCTGACCTTAACAGAGGGACCCATGGCTTCCAAGGTGTCCTGTTGATGCAATTAAGGAAGATAAGGAAAGGTTCTGGTAAATAATCTTGCTCGAGACCTAGCAAAAAGCAGCTTTTGTTTGTTTGTTTTGAGTTTTGTTTTCTACCTGAGTTGCGTTAGAGAACATCTGGTATGCATTTAATGTACCTACAGTGCTGCATCCCCACTACTAAAGAAGTTGGTATGACCTGGTTTCTACTAAGACATCATGATATGAACATACCGATGCCTGTGTCTGTGCCTGGACCTTCAAATCTCTTTCAAAGAATCACTCCCTTCCCCTCCTTTAGCAATTACCAAGAGATGAAGAGGCCCTAGCTTTGGGTAGACCTCCAAATCCTTGTTGGGGACAGAGAGAAATGTATTCACATTAATCATTGTACTAGGAAAGCATAGCAGCCAAGCACTTGGGCCCTGAAGCCAGACTGCCTGCGTTCATACTCTCATTCTACCACCTTCATGCTGGATGATATGGGGTAAATTACTTAAGCTCTCTGCTCCCTTGTGTTCTTGATCTGTAAAATAGGAAAAACAATGATACTGCCATGAAGGGTGATTGTGCAGATTAAGTGAATTATTAGTATTTGAAGGCGATCCTGGACCACAATATATATCAACTGGTAGATGTTAATATTCATATGGTTACTAGTCATTGAGCGTATGTGCCAGGCATCACACACAGATGTGTGAAAGATAGGGGCTTTGACATACATTAACTTAGTTAATCCTCAGAACACCCTGCAAATTAGAATCAGCCCCATTTTACTCATAAGAAAACTTTCTAGAGAGGTTAGATAACTTCTCCAGGTCACATTGTTCTTACCGACAGAGAGGGGATCCAACCCAGATCTTTCAGGCTGCAAATGCTGTGTCCCAAACCCACACCACTCTGCCTCCCAAAACACTTTATGTTTGGTTTTTTGGCTTGGGAAATCAAACCTGGGCCTTTGCGTGGAGGGCAAGGATTCCTCTACCACTGCCCACCTCAGCTGGATGACTTGTGGGCAGGAGGCAGAAGGGAAGGCAGTCTCAGTGAAACTCCAAGGGAGCCATCTGCCCCCCTCTTTCCCAAGACCACTGTCTAAGGAAACACCACTGGCCGTGTCCAGTCCCCTGATTTGCCCATTCTGAAATGGACCATCAAAATGTCATTTTATTATGTTAGTTAGTGGTGATGGAATTGTTGCATCTCTTCTTCAGTTCTAAACTGTGGGGGACAATTTCAACTCTGAAGGAGTGAAATAACAAAGGTGCTCACAGCAGTGCCATATAATTAACTGTCGGCCCCACTCTGTTATAAGCTGCTTTGAGCTCTTGCATATTTTCATCACTCCCTGGGAGCCAGTCCGGTATGATATTCAGTGAGTGTTTACGAAGTAAAAATAAAAATGCTTCCCTGCACTACTAAGTTAGCAGGGCTTACAGAATTTAGTGAGCAAGAATCCCGGATGTCTCAAGGTCGCATTCAGTGACAGTTCAGGACATGCTGGCAATCAAGTGCAGGCCCAGGCAATGCCAGTGTGATCATCTCCTGACACAGAGGTAGTTCTGTCACACACCCTGGAAGTTGGGGTGTTGTGTGTGCCTTAATGCCATCACCCTGATGGTTGAAAATGTCCTTTGGTGTCCCTCTGCTCCCTGAGACAGCCTGGTCAGAGCCACGGTTACCGCCAGCTCCTCTTAGAGCTTTGTTTGTCCTAGCTGCTAAAATGGTCCATGAGTCGGACCAGAACCATTGCTTTCCTGCATTGCTGACCCAGAGTGCTGCTCCCCAGGCGTAGATGGAAAGCTGAGGGCAGCCTGAGTGAAGGGCCCAGAAGCAGTTCGAGGGATTGCTTGGGTACTGGTTGAAGGAAAACACACTGTATAATGAAAGATTTGGTAAGAAACAATTGTCAAAAAATGTTCCCGAAGGGCCACACATTAATAATAATGAGTTTATATGGACCCACTGAAGTTACTGCTGAACTGAATCACCTGGTAACCAGAAGAAAGCAACTCACCATGCACGAGTCGACTGTGCCCGACTCATAGCCTGCACAGATCATCCGGGTGGTGATGGTCTTCATGTCAAAGTAGGACTGACACTGCTCCAGAGGAATAATGCGGACTTCTCCCTCCTGCAGCTTAAAAGGCACTTGATGTTTTTAAAAAGAAGAAACACAAGAAATAAAATATTTCTTTTATAAATAAAATATTGAAGAGGGTAAAATCACTCAAAAATGAGGCTAGCCATGTATGAAATGACTACATTTTCACACCAAGAGAACCACAGCCTTTACTTAAAATGTCGTTTCAAAGACAAGGCTCATCTGGAATCAGAATTTTCCAATTAGAAGTGTTGATAGCAAGCATCGAGCCAAACCCCTTTATTTTATTAATCAGAATATTGAGGCACAGACTGCTTAGGTAACTTGGCTCGTGCTTTCCCCTCTTTATATGCTGCAACAAAAACAACAGCTACTACAATGAAAAGGAAGATAATCAAGCGAGAACTCTGCCCCAGAGAGGAGGCTGCCAGCTCAGCGTCAGCTCACATCAGTCCCGCCCCGCTAAGGTACAGAACACCCATTCATTCTAACAGGGAAGGACTGCCCTATCCTTGGTTTAAAGAATGTGTCTCACCATGTGCTAAGGAAGCCATTATTTAAGGTAAGAACCTTTAATCCTAGCAGATATGACAGAGGGATTTTGAAAAGGACAAAGCCATCCCTTAGCATCAGCAGAGAGACTATGTGAGGTCCATCTTGCTTGAAAGTTCTTGAAGAATAACAATGGATTTCTCGAAGCATGAATCTTTTGTTATTTCTCCATTCTACAGAATTATACACACTGTTCTCCTTTTAGATAGTGAAGGTGAAGCAATGTATATGATACAGGATATCTTACTGGAAGAAACGATCATGTTGGGAAAAATCAATGTGATGCAGATAATGAAAGTTTCCCGAGTTGTCAAAAGAAAGGTAGTAAGAACCATCGCTAACATTTATGGGGCACTAGCAGTAGGCCAGGCGCCTGCACTCAGCATTCTCTGGGCCTACCATCTTTAATCTTTATGATAATCCATGAGTTAGACAGCTGCTGTTTTTTCCATTTTAAAGTAAGCTAAAAGGTAGTGCAGTCAGAGCGAATAAGATCTTTCTCACTGAATTCAGACTCTGCTACACTACAAATATGGTATGCACCGTATGTTACATGATTACTCTGATTTTAATGTGGATATTGTGGAAAAAATACAAACAGAGGCAATATAAAGTATATTCTACTTTTATATCTCAATACTAATTACAACTTTTAAAAACCAAGGAGCACAGGAACGGTGATGTCTAACCTTGCCTTCAAAGTTCTTACATGTGAGCTTTTCAGGAGTCATTTACTTACTTACTTACTTCTCTCTATTGACTTTTTCTTTCTGCCCTCACTTGATCATATAGAAAAGAAACTCAGCTTAGCTCAAAACTTATCTGACTAAATTTCAAGAAAAAAATTGTCCTTCAAATTGGCAGTTCCTAAGATGGTTAACAATTATACCAATTGTTGGTATACCAGTCAGGTGGACACCAATATACATCACCATTTCTGAGAGCCACGGCAGTACACTTGAGATAGTTGGAGTGGTCAGCAATCACCATTAAAGAAAATGTCTTGCGGATTACACTCTTATTCTTAACTTTTAATAGGTCAAGCAAAATAGGAGAGACTGTTATGGGGTCTGGGAGTAAGTAGTACAAATTTCTTAATTTCTGTATGTTTTATATATGTTTACATCATCTAGGGAGCCAAAATATTTTAATTAATTTAAATAGACAAATAGCAAATCAGCTTTCTTTCTAGAATGACTTACAGGTTGTGTTACAGACGTCAACAGCACCAAATCATAGCACAGAATTGCAAATGTGACCATGCAGCTTGACTGCACGAGCGGAACTGCCTCACCACTAGATAAAGTCTCCTAGTGACTTTGCCCGCAAATCACTGAGAGAGACAGTCCGAAGCGCTCATCAGGGATGACTGATAGGTCTCATCTTGCATGGCAGCCACAAAACATTGGTATTGGCTCCTTGGAGAAAGATTCGGAGGTGTGGGGAAGGATTTTTGAGGTTACATCTGAGCTTGGCACGTTTAAGTGCCACGATGAAGTATTGACATCTACCGTTTACATGGAAGGGACAGTGTGACACATTCTGCCTAGCATTCACCATTTGCAGCTATAGTTAAAATGGGAAATTACTGCCAAAGACTAGGAGTAACACAGTGTTTTCCAGTTACAAGCTGAAGGGCAAGTGCTCCTGAGGATCCTGGCTTACTTTTGTTGCCCATGTGCCCCCAGCCTGTGATGTAGCAGTAGGTATCAGGTTCTAATAACTGCCCCGTGTTGGGTAAGCAGACCGGCCGGACGTAGCTCGTTTCATTGATGTCCTCACTCAACTCCACTATGCTGATGTCATAGTCCACCACTGCCCAACTATAGCGAGGGTGCAGGATGATGGTTTTCACGTGGCGCGTCTGCATGAACGTCGATGGATGGTCTAGATTGTTGATGCCACACACCACTTTCCAAACGGCAGCATTCTCTCTCCTAAAAGAATAATTCAAGAGCTACTGGCATCTTAAACGTGGATTTACATTTTAAAATTTACGTGATTTTTAGAATATTTTATTTATGTAAATAATGGCTCTTTCCATGCCCACCTCCTGATATGTTCATATAAGAAGTGTTTAGATAATGGCCTGAGCAATTCGTAAACAGATAGTGTTGTGGAAAGCACAGCTCATACTTCTTGAAAGGGAATATTCTGGAAGATAAAACTTGTTCAGTTTGAAAGACAGGCAGGGTAGTTACTTGCTTCATTGAGTGGAAAAAATGAAGAAAGAGAATAAAAAGCCAAGGCTAAGAGATTCCTCCAAGAAAGAGCAAGTGCCTCAGAAAAATGTCATGTTTTCAAGAAAGCCTTCTGAAAATTTCAAGCCAAGAGCTTAAAAAGGTCACCCACAATTTCCAATGGTCAGTCTCAAACTTCACTGTTCTTGACTTCAAATCTGAACTTGTCAACAATATTCTAGTCAATTCCCACCTTAAAACACTTTCCTCCCTTGGCTTCCAGGACTCTCCATTCTCCAGCATTTCCTCCAATCTCATAGGCCCTTCCCTCTCAGTCTCCTCTTCTGGATCCTCCTGCTCTGCTCTCAATGTCTATGTTGAAGTGCCCCAGGGCTCTACTTTCAACCTTCTCATTCCATACTCACCCGCATGATGATTTCAACTAGTCCAGTGGTTTTAAATACCCCCCCCCACACACACACCCTGCTGACTCCCAAACATTTATCTCCAGCTCCATTCTCTCCCCTGAGCTACAGGCTTGCATGCCCGATTATCTCCTCTACACACTCGCTAGGACATTTGATCGTGGCTAAGATTTATTGAGTGCTTACCATGTACTGACAATGCTCTAAGCATTCAGAATTCATTTTACAGTTATTTAATACTTACAACCACCAGTTACACAGTTGAATCTTCTCTTTCTCTTATACCCAACATTGAATGCATCAGTAAGTCTTCACCACTCTACTTTCAAATATATCCTGAATCTTGTTTCTTCCTCCTGCTCCACTATGATCCTAACCTAAGCTACCCTCATCAACCAATCAATGACCTCCCAAATAGTAGCCTGTCTTCTACTCTTTGCCCCTATAACCCATTTTCCTCACAGCAACAGTGATCTTTTTAAAAATAAAATTCAATCAAGTCTATATAATTATAACGCTTATAATTCTCCAAGGACTTTGAATCATACATGAGACAAACTGTAGACTCCTATCCATGGCCTCTGAGGCCCTACATGATCTGCTCCATTACAACCCCAAGGACTTTCTATTTTTGACCATGGTGAGGACATCCCCAACTCAGGGGCTCTTCCCTTGCTGTTCTCTCAGCCCTCACCTGGTTCCCATCTTTACACCTTCTCTTCATCCAGGTTTCAGCTCGCACATCACCTCCTCAGAGCTGTCCTCTTTGACCACCTTGCTGAGCCTTTATTCTACCCCATCACTCTCTACTCTTGACTCTGCTTTAATTTTTCTCTCATAGAACTCATTGGTGGCAATGACGTGGACACATCTATTTGTCTTTTCTGTGCCTTGTCCCCAGACTGTAAGTTTTGTAAGGGCAGGGACCTGGCTGGTCTTGTTCACTGCTGTAGTCACAGAGCCCAGTAGCTGGCATGCAGTGGGTTCTCAACAAGTATTTGTTTATTGAGGGCTCAATGGATGTCATTTCAAAACATTTATTAGTGGCCAAATCCAACCACCTAAGCAAGGTCTATTCTTCACCAATCCCTCCACCTCCTCCTCCATTTGCAGGCCCTCCTCCTGCAGAGTAGGCCAGGATCAAAGGTGTGGGCATTTAGTGGGCCACAGGGTTGGAGGCTGGAGCTTTCATTATGGACATTCTCTCATGCTGTGGTAACATACATCAGCCATGCTACCACTTGGGAGCTTGCCTAACTAAAGTAGGTTGATTTGATTAACTAGACCAGTTGTTTTTCAACCCAGGCTGAACAATGAATCATCTGGGGAGGTTTTACATATGGATTTTTGGGGCATCACCCCATATCAATTGAAAGGTTTTGGGACTGGGTCCTGAGAATCAGTATTTTTAAGAGCTCCCTAGGGAGTCTCAGACAAAAACCCACCCACATTCCTTCTTTCCTTAGCATGCCTTTCTTCACCATCTTCTTGTGCATGGCAAAAATTCAAAGTGCTGAGATTTCAGGAGGGTTAGGGAAGCAGTGGCCAAGCCCAGCAGTCCACCTGTTTGTGGCATTGTTGAATTCTTGGACTAGACTCCATTAAAAGACTCCTCTACACAGTCCATGCATTCTATCCTTTTCCTATTGTAAAGGAAAATAATTTTAGAGCTATCAGAACAGGAATTGATGTCATTCTTTGAATATAGATGTAGATATAGATAGACAGATATAGATTTATAGCAATTCTTTCATGCCAAGCATTGTGTTAGGGATTACAATAATAAGCAAGAAAGACATTATTTCAGCCTACAAAACTTTAGAATTGAGCAAAGATGGACAAGTAAAGAAACTATTATAGTCAAATGCAGGAAATGTTATCTCATGAGCATTACAAGATAATTTTACAGAACTATTTTTCATTAAATAAATCTATCACTCAAAGAACTTGTCTTTTCTTCCTTCCTTCCTTGCTTTTTTCTCTCTTCCTTCCTTCTTTCCTTCTCTCTCTCTCTTTTCTCCCCTTCCTCCCTCCCTCCCTCTCTCCTTCCCTCTTTCTTGTCTTCCTGTTCTCCTCCCCTTGTGCCTTCCATTTTTTAGTCTAGAGGAGTAAGTGCATGACCATTTAAGAAATTCAATATTCACTTGAGATTCTATTACTTAAGATTTCTGAAATCAAGTAATAATTTATTTCAAATTTCTGCTATAATATTAAAATATAATAGCTTCTTGCCCTTGAATCAAAGCTATTAAATTTTGGTTATAACAAATACTTATCCATTTTCTTAAATCACAAGCAGTATTTCAAATAGTTGAACACTGCAAATTATTTCTAACAAGAAGAAATAACATAAAAATTCCAGACAATTACTGTATTAGGGGTTAATCTAATTCTAACAGTAAAAAATGGGTCAATAAAACTGTTAAATGTTATTGAATTGTATCCAGTAATCTCTTGCTACATAGGCTACTGTCTTTATGGCATTATCCACCAAAAAACAAGAAAAAGGAGTACACAGGAAATTCATATGCTATTCATATTCAGTGAGGATATTGTTCTTTTCTCTTTTGTTATGAGTAGCGTGGGAAAAATAAAGTCTCTTTTAATTTTTTTTCCAAGTCTGGCAAAAATCAGCAACAAAGCCTGTTGTTTGAAAGGGGTATTTGAAGTGAGGGAGCTTTGTATAAATGGTATATTTGTAGATTAAGTAAGCGTGTGCTGGAAAGAATGAGTCAGGAATAACGGCAGAGACATCCCCGTCTGGGTGGAAGCAAAAAGGAAAAAAAGAGAGAATTTAGGGCTACTAGATTCAGTTCAAAAGTACCCAGTGAAGAAGCACATAGGACTGAGCTACGTACATATGGCCATTTTAGGGAAAAGAGTTATATTGGGCTACAAAGAAAGACAGCCAAGTATAGTAGCTAAAAATTTCAGCATAATGGGGACTTTTTCTCGCTGAGCTGTCAGACCTCAAAGCAGCAGCAAGGAGAACTGGTGCATCCTTAAAGAAGGTTGTGCAAAGATCTCATGTTCCGAGAGTGAGGAAGCCAAGGTGAAGCCAGGTGAAAACGCACTGAGCACAATGAAAATGGCTAAGGAAGGTGTTAAAGGACCTTTTTCACCTTTCGTTCTTGCTCTAGATGATGTTTCATTAGCTAAGCTTCACATTTAGGTTCTAATTTATTCATGCCTATATGACTGTTTTAATAATGAACATGCTTTATAGATAACATTGAGAGAGTATGATTTCAACGTACAAGTCTTCAATTATCAGCTCAAGAGAGAAAACCCAGCTACTTATATAGCTCAGATGAACTAAGACCTGCTAGGGAATTGATACAGCATTGCAGGCACAACGTTTCTGGACACAATAACCAATCACTTTGGTTTGTAATTTGCCATACTCAACTCTAGTTTAGACGTGAAAATGCCACAATTCACTTAATTCAGTTAGCCAAGTTTAGAGATCTTCCATCTTTATCTTTTTTTAAGGGCACAAAATTTTCCTTTCTTTCACCTTTTCTGATTTTGCTTTAATATATTTAATATTAAATAAATTAAAAATCTCCTAAGAAGAAAAAGGTTAATATTTATAATTAACACCTGTGATAGAAATCACCCTATTTTACAAGTCTTCCTCCAGAAATAGCAATGCAAATGGTGATGTGGAGGTAGTTTGAAGGCCACCAAATTTGCACTCAATAAAGAAATATCACTCGATGGCATCGTTGTTGTTCTACAAATCTGACGAAACTCTTACATTCAGTATTGTGCTCTGCCCTGGGTATTTTTAAAAATTCTCTGTAACGCATGCAGTGAATAGCCTCTAGAATAGGATGACCACAAAGTAGATGTGAGAAGGGGCTGGAAGTAAGCCAATAAGCAGAAGGTGTCAGACCACAAGCTCTTACCATCTGGAGGGTCATCCGCCTGTCAGCTCCCTGCTGATTGCTGTCATGTTGGAATGCCCAGTGTGACCTGACTTTCCAATTGTTCAAGGGAAGCCAGAGTTCTGGATTTTATGTAAAGTATCCAGAGTTTAAGTGCTGGATAAAAGTTAAGAAAGGAATACAACAAGGAAATAGATCAGCAGCCTGGATTCTTCATTGGTATAAGATCTCTGCTTTATAGTTTCCCAAGTATTTGTACACACATTATTTCAAATGATCTTCTCACCAACTGTGAGGTGTACATAGGAATTCTTATTCCATTTTAAAGAAGAGAAAGCAGTGACTTGAAGCAATGGATGACTCATCTAAAGTCACAGAGCCAGTAAGTGATGGTAACAGAGCAGAATGCTGGTCTTTTTAGCCCTCGACCACGCGTTTTCTACTAAACTTCTCTGAAACAAAGAGAAGGGTCCACAGGCATCAACATAGGAATTAAGTTCTGGCCACTGGAGGGAAAGTATGTAGGATGGGTAGAGACTCACTGGTGAGCGATAGGATGACAAGTAGCAGGAAGATATCTTCTCTTTCCCGAACATATCTCCCAGGAGTGGTGGGAAGCTATCCATCAGTGATGAAATTACAGAAAGTAAACAATTTTGTCATCCCAGGCTCCAAAAAATCAAGAAAAAGGGATAGTCAGATACATATCCTAGACCTGTTTTGAAAAACTACAGAGATCATAATGTGTCCAGAGACTCTTAAAACAAGTGCAGCTCAACATAGACAGGGGAGTTCAAGTGCCAAATTCTGAGGCTACCATCACAAATGACTGCAGTAAGAAAATAAAGAATCAGCTAAAAACTAAATTTGACTACAAAGCGATCCCAGAGCTTTGTAACTGGAAAGTCTATCACAAGAGTGGCATGAAACCGTAGTAACTGTCAGAAAATCTTACTCATAGAGTGATCAGGGGTTTGTTTAAAAAAGGCAAAAAGTAGGAAAAGTAAAAACTGCTTTTCAGCAAAATAATGTGCAAAAAGAGGAAAATTTCTGTCTGTGGCAAATAATATTAGTAAGTAACTAAGACAAAGCAAAACTATTTGAAGTTTCCTGTACTTCCAATTTCTCCCATTCAAAGAAAATGATCTTCAGACAATATCCAGAAAGTTCATCTTCTGTATGATAAAACATACAGGTGCTTAATACATTGATGTTTTGAACTGATGTGTGGTCTAAAATACGGGACGAGTCAGTGAGAAATCACTGACCTTCTGTAGATGAGCTGACATTTCCAGTTCCAGACAAACTATAGTCCTAACTACTAAAAGAATTACAGATGTGATTACTAAGAAACATCAAGAAGGGGCTGGTTAGTCAGTTAACAAATATTTATTGAGTGGCTGTTATCGTCCATGCTGAAAGAAATAAAAACACGAGGGTGAGGAAGACAGAGTTCATCCCCTCATAGATTTTTCATTCTACTAGGCTAAAAAAATATATAAACAAATAAGATTATCTCGGGTACTTAGAAATGAAAAGCTAGAGTAATGTGATAGAGGGATAACTGATGGGGGTCACCTTAGCTGGGATAGTTAAGGAAGGCCTTTGACAAAATGACCCTTGAATTGAGATGTGAATGACAGGAAGGAGGTAGTTTTGTGATTCTATGAGAGTGCCCCAAACTGCAGAAGCAGCAAGTTCAAAGGTCCTGAGGTAAGAATGAGCTTGGAGGATTTCAGCGACAGAAAGAAGGCTAGAGGACTGAAGTGATAAGCCCAGGGCACTAGGTTAGCTGGGGAAAGAAAGGGGATGAGGAAGAGGTTGATGGGCTGAGATAATAGGGGAAGAAGTGCAGACAAGCCACCACAATCTTGTCGGAGTAAAGAACTGGTGTGGTAGAAATCAAGAGGTGAGTAACCCAGCAGGGTTAAGGGTTGTGGTCACATAGCGAGCTGACAGTTTTTCATGCAGGCTTCCTAGAGAGGAATTAGATGCTTCTGACAATTGCTAGTTGTGTGCCAGCCTAGGAAGTTCATCCTTAAGTCTTACAGAGGTGGAAGAAGGCAGGAAAATTGCTTGTTCAATTACTCGTGAAAGTCAAAGTCTTTATTCCTTAGAACCGTTGAAGTTGAACTGTTATTAGGGCCTATGGGACTTGATCTGATCAGCTCAGCATCTCATGTTTTTAATTCTCGTGTGGGATTTTTAAGTACCTCTCCATGGAAGAGCAAAACGTACTTGTCTTTTTTGCATGAATATAATTAAAAGAGACAGGCTTGAGAAGACCTACAGATGGGGCACAGTGGGCCTTGTCAAAGTATGGGATCAGGATATGAAGTAAATTCCATTAATTGCAGCAATTGATGGCTCCAGCAGAGTAAGGCTTACAATTAGAAGTTCTCAAAAGCTTGCAGGGCCACTGGAGAGAATGGAAAACAGAATCAGAGTTATTAGCACACATTCAAGCGAAAGCTTGTTAGAAGTTTGGCAATTTCTAGTTTCTTATGGATAGGCCAGGCCCCTCCTGACAGTTCTGTTAAGTTTAGTCTTCCATGAAATTTCACCAAGGCCTTTGATATCATATCCATTTCCTTAATTATAACCACATATTTCTTCTCTATTGCAAGATCTTCACAGATCTGTCAGTGAGGGAAAATTGGACACCACATATGGAAATGACAAAAGTGGCGTATGAACCTGGATTAATGCACGTAAAGAGTGTTGTTCCCTCAAAGACCTGTTGGATTCATTTAGATAATCATCTTTTGATGAATGTACTCTTGCTAGTATAATTCTCTGCTTATCAGGGAGTTATAAATCAGAATTGGAAAAGACATCTGGAAACATCTGGCACCTTCTGAAGCGACAACATTGCAGTGTATTTCCTGACGTACTATACAGACTCTTCCAATCATTTTGGGTCTTACACCTTAAAAGTTCCCAATAGGAGGTATTGGTTTGGTTTTTTATATTCTATTTCCCCCAAAAGAGAAATCAAATAACTGGATATACACTTTTCCATTTTATCATCACTTATCACATTATATTCTAATTATTTGTTTAACTGTCTGTCTCCTCACTAGGTTAGCACTCCAAGGAAGGAAACACGTATTCATCTCTCTAACCCCCAGGTGGAGCTAAATATATGTGCTGGGACTCTGTCGTATAGAAACAAAAGTACCAGTAGGTGAGTAGCTTTATATAAGAAGATGTACTGCGGTATTGTTAAAATGGTAGCAATCTGGAACTAACCTGAATGCCCACCAACTGGGGAATAAAAGAAAAAGTTATGGTAAATCTATATTATGGAATATCATTTAGCTCTGAAAATAATAAGCTAGAGCTACATCTATTGACCTGGAGGGATGTCCATGAGATACTGCTACATGAGAAAAGCAACTTACAAACAAAAGTATAGAGTGTGATTCCAAACTGTGAAAGTAAACAATGACACCCTGCGAAAACTATGTTTATAACTGTGGAGGAATATTCCACTAGGCTGTAACAGGGGTTATCATGAGGAGAATGAGAAAGTAAAAGAGAGAGTATGGCAGGAGATAAAAATAGTGCTAGCAAAATGCAAAAATACCCATGCTGTAAGGCTACGGAAAAAGGTAGAATACGTGTTTTTAGTAATTTTTTAAAAGAAAAGTTGATCTTTATTGAGGTCTTACTGATTGATGCCAGGATGGTTCTCAAGCTTTCCATAGACAATCTCACTATACGCTCTCACCAACCCTGTGAGGTAGGGACTATTAGTTCCCTCATTTCACCAATGAGGAAACGGTAGCCCAAAGAAGCTAAGTAATTGACCCACAGAGACACAGCAAGTGGCAAAGCTAAAAAAAATAATAATAGGCAAAAAAAAAAAATTGCATTTTTTTCTAGAAATTAACCTAGTCAAATGCAAATATCAATTAGGTGATAGAACTGTGAGCTATTTTAAGTTTTTGCTATTGCCTAATATTACTGTGAAATAAAGTAAAATTATTAAAAATAAATTGAATAAAATGGGTGGTGTAGTGGTTTTTCAAACGTGTCCTCAAACCCTTTGACACTCCTCTTGCTGAGAGGAGGCTGCTTTGTTTGTTCCCTTTGGATCTGGGCGGGGCTTGTGAGGGCTCTGACCAACCACAGAGCAGAAGCAATGTTGTGTGTCTTTGGAGGAAAGGTCAAAGGCCACCTATCTTCCTCCTGGCTCCCTTTTTGGGAATCTGGCTCTGGAGGATGCCAGTCACCAAGCTGTGAGTCCCATATGGAGAGGAACTAAGGCCCCAGCCAATGGGCAGCTCTGACCGCCAGACTTCAGACGGTTCAAGCCCTAGCCTTAGAATCTTCCAGCGGAGGCCCCAGACATTGCCCAGCAGAGACAAACTGCACCGCTATGTCTGAAGTTTTTTTGTTTGCTGTTGTTATTGTATTTTTTTTCTCCTAAATTACACAACAACAGATAGTCAGAACACATGAGGACCTTCCACAGTGACATTTGTCAATTTGGAGTAGGTTTCCCCTTCATCTTATTTTTCTGCTCCCTTTAGGTATACTGTGATGGTTAATTTTATATGCCAACGTGGCTGGGTCACGGTACTCAAATATTTGGTCAAACATTTGGTTTAACATTTACATTGGTGGACTTTGAGTAAAGCAGATTACCCTCCATGATGTGATTATCCTCATCCGATAAGTTGGAGACTAGAACAAAGACTTGACCTCCACTGAGTGAGAAGAAATTCTACTAGCAGACTGCCCTTGGATAGAATTGCAGTCTCCAGCTTGCCAATCGTATTTTTGACTCGCCAAGCCTCCACGATCTTGTGAGCCAATTTCTTAAAATACATTTCTCTCTCTCTCTCCTTCTGTCTGTCTCATTGGTCTGTTTCTCTGGAGAATCCTGACTAATACATATAATGTATCTTTAACTCTGCTTGCCAAACTCCTCACTAGTTCCTCCAGCAATCTAACCTGACTGTAGCGTCCAAGTAAATCCCTCTGTTTGACTTCAGATGTACCTGATGCATATAAAGAGGGCTAGAAAAAAGACTACTGCTGGCGGCAATGTCAGTCTTCTAAACCTCTTCCTCTCCCTCCCTCTTTAGGACGTAAATCATAAGCATTATATATCCTTTGCCAATAAATGAGCAGCACGTGTACAGGATAACAACACTGAGGGTAGAAAAATCTAAGCAGATAAAGCCCCAGGAAGTAGATCAACCGTGGCTTTTGCACTGAAATGGCATCACAGAATTACATATGCCACTAAGAATGCCCCAATGACAAAATGATCAGATTCAGGCAAAGCAAAAAAGAAAAGATGCAGCTTACCCCTCGAAGCAGTGGGCAACCGTCAGAACCCACTTCTTGGCAATGAGGACACAGCCACAAATGTGTCCACTGGGTTCACTCTGCAGGGAACACTGCCATGGCCACCTTCCAGGGCGACTCGTCCGACCCCCGAGGATCCTTTTGTTCATTCGGGCAGCAGGGCGGTGCCCACAGTCTACCAAGGAGCAGGAAAGACAGCATATGACTCTCTGCCAAACCCAGCTAGATGCTTGAATCTTTGCTGTCATGTACAGTGATCATTTTCCCCCTGAGCCAATTCGGTTAAATGAAGTTCATATCCCATTGCTCCATCACTCATTCTCTCACCTTGTTTAGTACACAGAAGAGAAATCTTACTTCTGCTGTGACAAGACTGCCTAGATTTGGAAACATAAAATGGCATAATATTAAGCTACATATTTATCTTCACTTCAAACACTTTATCAGTGAAAAGCAACACACAGATTCAACTGTTAGCAGAGGTTGCATCTTTGACTAACGACTATACTTAGTGCAGAAATTCTCAAGGCAGAGTTGTGGTCAGAGATCACCTCAGGGGTGGGGGTGTTTGGAGGATGTGTTCTCTTCTTTAGTTTATTTAATATCATCATCATAATTTCACATCTGTGGGAAGAGAAACTACTGTTTTCAAGTTTCCCACATCATCTTGGCTGGCGGTACCACCCAGAATATTAATTCAAACCACGATTCTCAAGGTAGAGAGAGGAAAAGGGAGGAAACTGGGTTGCTTCTTAGAATCTGTGGTGAGGAGGGAGCATGTCAGATTGTTGTGCTGATGCAGAGAGCATGTATGTACAAAAGAAGTTGAGAAAGTGTTTGAGAGAAATAAAATATTACTTCAAAAAGTTAGAGAACAGATAAAGGAACTAAATATTTAGACTGGAAAGGAATCTTGTCAAGACTTTCATTGTTAAACTGTGGGTCTATGATTAGCTGACAGAAAAATGGGGGTTAAATTTATTCCCCAAAACCCTAGATGGAAGAATCATAACCAGTAGGTAGAACTTATAGGCAGTGTGGGTTCAGGAAATGAAGAACTTTCTAAAAATCTGAGTTAACCTTTGAAGGTAAGAACATGGGCCATGTTTAAGCATCTATCAAGGTAGCTGCACAAGAGAATTCGGTTTAGAATACGCGAAGTTTTGCCTGCAGAGTTCTCTTCCAATCATGAAGCATTTATTCACAGTGTAAATTTAAAAGACAGAAAACACTTTGAGACTGTCGAAAGTATTGTGATGTGCTTAGAATGCTAGACCTCTAAAAAAGATAAAATCCAGCCCTAAGTATGTCGTTTCCACATTCCTTTTTGATTATTTACTATATTTTTATTTCTTGCTAAAATTGCATGGGGATATGTGTAATTATTTGTACATAATAAATTATATAAAGCAGAAAAAGGTATGTTTGCTTTTTGCCTTCCTACAACGTCAAGTCGTATCTCTTTCTTACTTTCTCTCTTTATCCTTAATTTCTTTGCAGCACTTCCAAATGTCTGAAATTCACTTTGTTTACTAGTTTATAGTCTCTCTGTCCACCTATACAAATATGTTCCTTGAGACCAGGGCCCTTGTCATTCACTTCTACATCCCCTCAGAGCTTAGCACTGACCCTGGCATAGAAGAGATACGCAATAATTAGTTATTTGTTAGATCCCAAAATCATGGCTTGCAGGAACAGGAAAAGACATCAAAGACTGTCTGTCCCAGCTCTTTATCTCACAGGAAACTGTGATTATATCAGATCACATATCTAGTTAGCAAGCCAGGACTAGAACCCATTCTACCAATGCCCAATTTAGAATGATTGTATAATTAGTTTATTTATTTGACCTGAAAGGGATTTTTTGGCATTCCCACTTTGGGGAAACAAATCACTCTGTTGAAAGATTCAGGTCATTGTTTAGAAGGAAGAACTTCAGTTGACAAATACTCAGAAATTTGGCAGCAGAGTTTGGTCTGTGGGGAAAACGTCAAGAGATTCTACAAAGAAATGGTCCACCTTTAGTTTTCTTCTTTGGAATTCTTAAGAAGTGCTTTCTCTAGCACTTATTAGAAGATTTGGATTCAGATAAACTTGGTTTGAGTTGAGACGATATCACTTACTGTCTGTGGGCTGTGAGTTTGTGAGCAAGTTATTTAAATATTCTATAGCTGTGTCCCTACAATGTAATAAGCACTAAGATAAGGGTTAATTCCTTCCATTTATCTTCCTTCTGCACCCTTACCCTTAGACAAGGGAGGCAGTCCTGTTTAAGATGCCATGGTTCTCTGGGGGAAAATTTCAGAAGTGTACTTTCAAGGCTACTCGATTATAACTTCATTTTATGTCAGTTTTTGCCTCAGACTCTCCAAGTTTTATCAGTCATCATTCCTTCCATTCCCTCTGTTAACTAGCTGCATGTAGCACTGGAGAGGGGCAGACAGGAGGATTTATTTCAAATAGGCTACAGAAAAAAACGCACGATTAGAAATCAAGTTCCTCCTCCTTCACCATGAGAGTTTCTGTAATCATCATTAAAGAAAATCATAATTAGCCAAGAGGAAAAAAGTCTGTCTAGAAAGAAGGAATAAAACCAAACAGTGTTAAACACAAAGGCCAATCACCATTCTACGGGAGCTCTTTATTGACGTGACAAATTTGGATTATTTTAAATTAGACATAAAAGAAGGCCCCTGATGGTAAACTTTGCTCTGGAATCTACTCTACACAGCCCTTGTGAAGGCTGTCTTACCCTTCGACCAGCAGTTCATGCAAAGTGGTCCCACTGAGGCTCTCCCAGTTGGAGTGTAGTGTCAGCCACTGCTGGTCTTGCTCCTGCTCCTGTATCATTCCGGTCACAGACGGCTCTCTGATAGAAGGGCAAATATCAGATAAACATTCAAAGTACAATGATCTTTGACCAGGCAATGTCATTATTTAGCACTCATTCTCTTTCAAAAAGAACCATTACATCATAAGTCAATATTTCAAGAGGGAGATTTGTATTAGAAGTTTGGCATGGAATGTGCAGTAAGAAGGAAGTTACTAAAAGCATCCTGAAGCAATAATGGCCCAAATTTTTACAGCTGTTTTAGTCATTCTCTCTGCTGACATGTATTTGAACTTTGTGAGGAGACAGAATTCTAATGTATATGATGTAAAATGTCCAATATCTGGAAAACAAGAGCAACTTTAGGCAGGGATCAAAAGCGAAATAAAATTTATCTAGCTGGAGTTTTGTCTCCTCTTTTCTTGACCATTGTAATCCTGCAATATAGCAATACTTTAAAATAAAATAAACAATAGAGAATCGATGGCCAGTTAGTATCTGTTTAGACGATATAAAATTTTAAGTGGAATTTTTTCAACATACTGCGAAATCTTTATGCACTAAAAATTAAAAAGAACTCTGGAAAATAGAGATGGGACTTAGACAACATTATTTTGCTCTTTACCTATATTCTCACTCAATCTCTGCTAATATTTCCTGTGAATGTCTCATTTAGTCATTCAGAGAAAATATGGTGACACTGTATCCAAGATTTAAAACCTTAGTTTTCAAAAGTACTTGTATTTTTTTGTATAATATCCTATTCTTCATGAAAAAGTTGGTTTATTTAGGCAATCCATATTTGAAGAAAATGTTTTGGATTTTTATCGCCTGATGCTATCAAGGGTAGAAGAGGGAAAGGAATTAGTTTTAGACAGGAGGAAGGAGAATGTTTTCTGAAGCTAGAAGGAAGTAGGAGAGAAGGAAGCAGGCACTTTGTTGGCGTTGGAGAGGGGGAGAGAATTCATCAAGAGAATTCAAATCAGGTAGTCTCCACTTTTCTTTCCAAGTAGGAGGTGAGCTCCTAGGATGAAAGCTGGGGAGTGGCAGGGCTGCATGATGACGAGGAAAGTGACATGTGTATGGAATTGTTTCCTGGTGGAAGTGTTTGAAGAAACACATCAAAGATAACTTAGAAGAATGGCAAGCAGCATTGAGCGTTCAAATGAACCTGGAAATCTTGCAGTTGTGGGAGCGTCGAGTCTGCATGCTTAGTGACTTTCTTTTTCAATAATGGGATGCCATTTTTTTTTTCAAAATGAAAAATTAGGGGGCACAGGAAGGGAAGAAAAGTTAGATTCAGTGGCACTGAAAGAAAAATGATCATTTCACCTGACTATTAATTATTTAAAAACTACCGTAATCACATTACAGAAAATAAAAGAAACGAAAATCTCCCCCAATCCTGTTACTCTTAAAAAGAGAAAAATCCTCTAAAGAGGACACTTGATAGAAAAAGAGCCAAAGAATAAAAACAAAACAGAGTCCTTAATAATGAGTGAATTCTAATCATTTGCTTTTAAAACAAATGGCATAAACCCTGACTGCACTTTAAGAAGAGTTGCACAAGATTTAAATTTATTTAGAAACTTGAAGGAACTGTTAGATTACAGAAGACTTCACAAAACCTACTGCAAAATGAGAATTTTTCTTTTCCTCGACCAAAATGGGAGTCTGGTTTTCTATTAACCCCAGAAGTCCTGCATACGAAGGCACGGTGGGATGGAACGTATAAAAGTCAGAGGCCACACGTATCACTCATGGTGTTTCTCTTGACACCTGCCTCCTGAGAATTACTTTGGGCAATAGAACAGCCTGTGGCCTCTTAAATCCAGGCGTTTTACTGGCAAAAAGCCAAAGGAAGATCAGCTTCAGATTTCTTGCTTAATGAAGTCATTCTTTAGGCAGATATTCATAGGGCCACAGGGGACTTGCATGAGGAGGACGATTCAGCGCAGGATTTTCACTGATGCTGGATAGAAAAATCATTGCAAAGGACACTTCAGCCTTTCAGTCCACAAGACCCCTTCAGTTACCTCATTGCACATGGGACATTTTTGCATTTCATTCATTAGCCTCCAACAAGTAAGGCAATTTAGGCTGAATCTCTGTTACATCAAGTGGAAAATCTAAGAAATTCATCATCAAGAAGAAGGGGAGTATCACCATAAAAATTAGCTTTCTGTGAAATGCTTACACACTAGCATGCTTCTCATGCACAAAATAAATCTTTCAGAACTAGAAATGTCACCCTAGGGTCCAATAAAAAAATATCAGTGAATCCACATGGTTCTATCTCTGCCATCATAAAGCATCTGAGCATCTGTGTGATCTCAAGTTTTCTTAGTTTTCTTTTAAATAATTTTTTAAATTATAAAAGTAATGCTTATACATGGAAAAAATAACAAAAATTATACAATGAAAAAATATTCTTCCTATCCTAGATGTATTGAAAAACCATTGGAATTTAATCATTTGATTTTAAAACAAATGGCATAAACCCTGACTGAGAGCATCTGCCTATCCTCGCCAACCTTTTTCGATAATCCATGTATAAACGCCCTCTTTTTTCAGTCTATACACATTGTTCTGTGTGGTGTTGATGATAATTTCATTTAATGATTTCTCTTGGAAGTCTTTCCATAGCAATAGTTAACATTTGTTAACTATTTTCTGTATCCCAAGCACTAAAAGACTAACTCATTTTATTTTATTTAAACCTCTTAACAACTTTGTAAAGTATGCTTTATTATTATTCCCCATTTTGGAGATAAAAATTTGAGGCAAAGAGAGAATAAGTAACTTTCCCGTGGTCACACAGAACTGACACTTGAATCTCTATGGTCTGATGTCAAAATACCGCTCCTCACACTTTGAACACCATGTAGCCTTCTTCATTAGCAACACACACCGTGTTCTTTTTACAACTGCACAGTGTTCCATTACGCGGGTGTACATACGTTTACTTAACCAATCCACTATTGATGCACATGTAGGCTGTTTCCAACTTTTGGCTATAACAAAAAAGCAGCAGTTAACACGCTTAGCTATTCACCTTTGCCTACTTGCACAAGTAGAATAAATTCCTAGAAATAAAATTATTAAATCAAAACTTAAATTTTTCATTAATGGCATGAATTTCTCCTTCAAAGAGTAATGCCAATTTACAAACTCATCAAGTATATGTGTCCATACTTTTTAATTTTTATAATTACATACACAATGTAAATCATGCTATTAAAAAGTATCTGGGAAATTAACAGCTGCTCAAATTTGGTTTGACAATTGGTAATGCATTTGACTGATCTTTTTCCATATTATATCAAGAGACAAATTAAAGAAATCTGTTGGGTAGAGAGCAAAAGAGCAAAAAATATTTTGCCAGTGATTAAGCATTAGTCACTGTATCCTAAGAGAGTCTGTGCGGGAATGCAGCCAGACCCAAATGCCTCTAAAGCAGCCATGACATCACAGACAGAGAAGGAAATTCAAGCAACGATCTAATCCAATGCCTTCATTTGACAGCCTGAGAAAACTGAGGCACAGATACAGACCCATCCCAAACATCTTTGGGGCCTACAGCAAGAGGACAAGTAGAGGCCCACATGCTGTATGTCTACACCTTTACATGTTAAAAATCGAGTTAACAAACTGTTAAAGGAAATATATTCTATCTTCCCATCTTGATAAACATATCTTTTAGGCACAACTATAGGATTCTTGGACTCCTTGGAACAGTGGTTTTCAAACTTTACCATTCATCAGAATCACCCAGAGGATGTGTTATAACGAACATTGTTGGCCCCATCTCCAGATCCCTGAGATGGTAAGTCTGAGATGGGGCCCAAAAAGTTGCCTTTCTAACAAGATCCCAAGTGATGCTGACACTGTTGATCTGGAACCACACTTTGAAAACATTACTTTAGATCAGGGACCAGGCTCCAAGTGGACATAACTCCATGGTTGACAGACTCCTAGCCCCATGGGGCCAGAGTGGTCCCTCTAAACCAGGGTCTCTCATCCTTGTCACTACTGACATTTTATACCAGAGGATTATTTTCTATGTGGGGCTGTCCTGTGCATTGTAGGATGTTTTGCATCATCCCTGGTTTCTGCCCACTAGATGCTCCTATCACTCCACGTCTCCTGTGTTGACAGTCAAAAATGTCTATAGACATTTCCAAATGCTTCCTAGGGACAAAGTCACCCCTGGTTGAGAACCACTGCTGTAAATGCTGGGGCCCATGGCAAGGCCTCTCTGCTCTGGGTCTAAGGCAGTACTGCACAGAAAAGTGAAAGGATTTCGCTCAAATTTACTCCTTGAATTGTGTGGCCTTAAGACACATATAAAAAATGTATAATTCCCCTGACGCATGCACAATGAAATGAGAAGACAGAATTTAACCAGAATGATGAAACATCTTGACATTCTGATAGGAATTTTACATTTCAAGGCTTAGGTGAACAATCGGATCTCTAGACAATTTGCCCTATAAATCTTGTGTCACTCTCATGAAGCCACTTGATGTTTAGTAATAAGGCATCGCATGCTTGTATTATAATTATGTTGGGGCTGCTGACTTAAAAAATAAAGGTCAGCACAAATCCCCAAAAGTCAAGCGCTTCTTTAATTTGGCAGCAAGAGAGCAGGAATTACCAACACACGTTATACATTTCAGCGGAAGGACGAGAACTGTTTTCTTGTGTCTATTACCAGGGAAAAATAATCTGAGTATTCAACCTCAGTGCTGACAATTAGGCTTGATATGCAAATGCCTTGTGTAGTGGACAAGATACATTATTTGCAATTCTGAGCATCCTGTTCAGAACTTGGAACACTTCCACTAGACACTTAGTATCTGATTTTAAAAATCTTTTCTTAAATCCTGTCACATTATTATCTCTGTTTGGTTCCTATAGACTAGACATGTTAATATTAAAAGCTAGTTAAATTATTTTGTCAAGCAGAAAGGTGACCTGGAAATTTTGACAGAAAGGCATAACAGGTTTCAAATAAAACATGAATGAACCCTACTATA